GGGTGGGCTGGCAGCTCAAGCCCCGCCTGCATGCTCCCGGTTGCTTTGGTCGGTGGGGGCGGTGTTGGTTCATCCGCGGCTCTCTGAAAGTTGCACTGCCGACGCCCTCACCACCACACCCTGCCCTTGGCGCCCGGCGCAGGCACTCTGACGGCCGTGAAACCATGGCCTTCAACTTTGACTGCGCAGCTCGGATGGGGCCGCCATGCCTCATGTCTGCCAAGCTGGCGGTCAGCTGGATGCTTGAGGGGCCCAGCACCAGAGATCCAAGCAGCGACAATGCTGACGGTGGCGGCAGCAAGCTGCTCGGCGCAGCGGGTGACGGGTTGCGGTTGGCAGCCGTCCAGGCGGAGGAGCCTGCGGCGCCCATTGTGTCGGCTTCCCAGCCTGTGTCAACGGGGATATCTTCCACGGTGGTGCCGCCGACGCCAACCCTGGCACTAGCGCCCAAGCCTGCAGCGCAGGAGCCTCAACGCACCTCCACGCCATCACCGACGCCCTTGCCGGCTTTGCTACAAAATGCAGTTGGTGGCGAGGCGCCTTCCGCGCCCTCCACTTCGCGTGGGCCCTCGCCCACGCCCGTGCCCTCGCCAAGCCCCAAGAAGCGGCGGCGGCGGCGCCCCCCCTCGCCATCGCCCACGGCGGCGTCACCTGCATTGGGCCCGGCGCCCCTTGAGGCTCCGTCATCATTGGGCGCCGCGGCGCCGGCCGGCGCCGCGGCGTCGGCAGGGGGCACAGGGGCGCCCAAGGACACTATGCCGACGCCAAACCCTTCGCCGTCTCAGATGCCGTCGCCACTTCTGTCTCCGTCGTCATCCCCACTGCCGGTCGGAGGTTTGAATGTGACACCACCGCCGCACATGCTCAAGATCCACAACGACCCTGTCATGCCCAGCCCAAGCCTCGGTCTGATTTCAAGCCCCTCAGTTGGCAAAGGGTCTGTCTGGAAGCTGCTCCCACTGGCAGTGCCGCGCAATGCCAGTGACATGGTGCCCAGCAGGAATACGACCACGGACCACCCTGGTGGGGCCAGCGAGGACGGGCGCAACACCTTTAAAAGTGGCGCTACCAACAGCACGACTGCTGGTGGTGATGTTGCTTCAACTGTCAGCGGGCTCACTGGCTCCAGCACTTCAGGTGGCGGCGGTGTGGCCAGCGCCGGCGGCAGCACTGCGGTGGACGGCGAGGGCACTTTGGCGACGGCCAACGGCACCACTGTAGTTGCAAATGGCACCGGCACCGGCAATACCTCCGCTGTGGGCAGCATCAGCGCTGCGAACAACTTCACTGCCGCTGTGAACGTCACGGTCAAGGCCAACTTCACGGTCTACGCGAACCTCACAGGCAACGCCAACAACACAGGCAGCACCAACATCACAGGCAACACCACTGTGGTTTTGGATGGGAGGGACAGCCCTTCGGGAAACCTGACGGATAGGCCAATCAATGGCACGGGCAACTCCACGCTCCCCTCCACCAACGGCACACAGTCTGACTCCAGGCGCAATCACACATACCCGTTCTTTGTGCTGCCAACGGCCGCCAACAGCACGGACAACTCCACACACATACAATCACCCGCACCAAACCCAAGCAATGTGCGCAACTTGGGGGACCGGCGCCGCCGCCGGAGTTCGGAGCAGTCTGCCGTGCCTGGTTAGCAGCCTTGTTTTCACCAGATTGGATTGCATTACACGGTGCAATAATTGCCTAGATTCCACCTGTGACTCCCTGTTTGCGCTACCCTACGTGTGGCCCACCTTACTTGCCACGCCAGTGCTGTTGAGTCACCCAACCTACGCAGTGGCAGCCTGGAGCCTTGGGTGCCTGCTGCTGGCTGTAGCTCAGGCCCTGCCTCCCAAGCATCAAATAAACCGGAAATCGGGCCTAGTGTGACATCCCCTCTGCAAGCACCCATCCGCTTCCCACACACAGGCACTTCGCGTTGTGTGGTGAGGTGGGCCTCGCTTGTGTTGAGGTCGATGTATTGCACCCCAAGGAAGGAAATGACACTGCACCCCCCAGCCTCCTCATTGCACAAGTTGAGCACGTCATTCTGTTTGGGCGTTTGCGCACTTCGACACTTCACAATCAGCCATGCATGCTCTCCAGCCTGCTGGGCGGGGTGCGGCGATGAAGTGACGCCGACAGGGGCCGCGCTGGCTTGCGCTTCCCACAGTGCATGGGGTCTGGTGGAGCACGTACTGTGTCATAAAGCCGCGCCCTGCACTTTGGCAGCTGTGCCTTTTTCTTGACGATTGCACGGCTGGAGGCCGCTTGGCCAGACAAACAAAAAACTGGGCCTAAGCCCACCTTCACACAGTGCCGGCACAATGACGATTGCCTGCTTCAACACACTTGCGCTTGGTGCGAACCCGCGCGCTGCATAGATTGCTGCGCCGCCGCGCGCTAACTGTGCTTGAAGGCATCACAGCGCAGTAGGGGCAGAGCGGGTGTGAGGCCTGAGTCCGGCCCATCCCACACGGTTGCTCTGCGACAATTGCGCCGCACGCCTCTTGGCCTCGGCTGCTTTACAGATCCTGCGTTTGCTTCGTTACATTCAGCACTATACCCCATCAAAAACACACATTTTTGCCACCGCAGGCGCTGCAAGCAGCACTGGCGCCCTGGCAGGACCCGGGCGAATGTGAATATGAGCACATGCGTGATCACTGTTCCTCCATTTTGGGCGTATTTCGTATCGCAGCCTGCGAGCGTGCAGCACCCCAGCGCGCTTGCAACTCTTCGACTTGCCTAATGCTACAACCGAAGCGCCACTTCTCACTGGCACGCCGGGCGCGCTGGTTGTTCGAGCCTTTAGAGCGATCCAGATCTGCCCCCCTGCATCGGCGCTGCACGCACAAGGCAGAGCCGGTACCGGAACATATGGAGGCTAGCCAGCCCTGTCCGAGGCCGGACTGGACGGGCGCAGCACCGCCTTGCATACAACACCAAGTGCTGGACTCTCTTTTCCGCTGCGACGCCGCAGCATGTTAGCAAGTGTGCATAGATTGGCGCTAAGTTGGGGGCCAGCAGGAACCCCGCTCGTCGTCCCTGTGACGTCACCCTGGGCATTCTGCATCCAGCATGCTGCCCAATTTGTGGACCACGCCCCATCTTGCCCCTCTCCTGCAATCTGCAACGCCTCGGCACACCAGGCAGGTGCAGGCGATATTGGCGGCCGTTGTTCCCTTCGCCGACGTATAGTCACGCATTGTGCACGTTTCGTCATCACGACCCCGCAGGAGTGCTGGCTTGCTGCTCCTTTTGCCTCAAGCACTGCCACAAAGTGCCACAAACGGACGAGTCATTAGCTAGCCATGCAGTAAGTAAAAGCCAACAGCATGTAGGCGACGGCCCCAGGCAAGTCGCATGCGAGCAAAGGCGTGGTCAACGCAGCCAAGGGGGGTGACTGGGTCAGAGGATTTGGACACTGAGGCCAATGTCGTGGCTCTGCTCAGCCACACCGCTACAGCTAATGCCGGTGCTTACATCAGCAGCGCGAGCCTGTGGTCCAGGGACATCGCTCGCTGCGTCCTCCAAGGCTGCTGTGCGCCACCCCTCTGAGGCTGCAACACGGGAAAGCGTAAAATATTCAGGAGTCGAAACATTACTCGCTGCCAGGCAATGGATGTGCCTCATCTCTCGACTTCTGACCCTTCCGCAAGGAGGCCAGCAGGTGCGGGTCAGCACCCGAAACTCACGCCGAGAGTACCTCAACCTGAGGTACTCCTTTTCAGCTAAAGCCCACCCGACCCGCACAATCAAGTCATATCAACTATCGTAATCCTGAAATCACGTCTGTTGCCACTCGAATTTCTCCGCACAGTTTGGCAATCACAAGGGCAGACAAAGTGTCTGAGATCCAGGGCCTGATCCCCGGCCCCGGGGTTCTTAATCATGGATGTCCACAACGTATTTCGCGCCTTTTTTGTGTTGGGTGCGATAATAGTGTCGGGAGTTGAGGCGCAGCTGCGGGAGGTGGCAGGCAACACCGTGTTGGTCATAACCAACCCTGACGGGATCGCAACGGGGTGAGACAACACGATGACCCTGGAATTTTCCTGTATACCGTGCGCCCTGGGGCCGGGCTGTGCCTTCGGGCTGTGCTCTCGTGCGGGCGGCGACCCAGAAAAGCAATCCTGCCCTTCCCGCCGTGCACACCCAGGAGAGCCCAAACATCTGGCCCAAACCCAAACCCCTGCCACAAACGTGTCACTACTTCAGGTCCGCTACAAGCGTCGGCTTCCTGCAGGCAGCCCTCGCGGCGGCAAGCCAGCCCTTTGACACAGTGGTCGTCACCAACTCCGCCCGCCCCGACTTTGCGTCGCTCCTGTGGAACGCTGATGGCACAGGCAGATACAGGGGCTATGTCATGTGAGTGCCCATCTCCGGCCAGTTGGTCGCTTTTGCAGCTGGCCACCGCATCCCGCACCCCAAACATGCGCACCATCACAGGCTGTTCGCGCAGTGCAAGGACAGGTGTACTTGGAACGCAGCACTTCGACAAGTCCGTGCCCATGTACTGCACTCCTAGCTGGTGCTTGCGTCGGCTCTGCATAATCTCTGCAGCCCAAATAACGCATGAACCCCCGCCGTCATTCACCTGTGCCGCCGTCACCACACCCCCCGCACCAGGTACCCGCCGTTGGAGTCGATGAGCCTCCTCACACCCGCCGAAATTGGCGTATTTTGGGACTACCAGGCCAAGACCGGCATCAGGAGCATCAAGTACGGCGCCCCCGCCCCCACAATCGGCTACGGCGCGTCCGTGCCCGGCGCCGTGAAACAGCTTTACTGGACGGCGGCCGCGCCGTTCGGCACGTCTGGTGTCTCGGCAACCGCCATGCTCGCGGCCGATGGTGCTGGCCTGCTCATGTGAGTGTTCCGTTGCTCTCTGCATGCGATTGCCTTTGATACTTCTAAAAATCCAGGTTAAGAGGCATATATTTAGGACCCTTTGGACTGGCCTGGCACGCAGCCTGCTTTATTCAACCGTCGGCAGCCCCCACGGGCCCCTCCCCCCGCCCACCACCACCATCATCATCCCACTCCCCCCCAGGACACCGGCCAATTCGGCCTTGCCTCTGGGAACCTGCGACTTGCACTATGGTTTGGGTGCCAACCCCACCTCCACGGCCATCGTGTCTCCCTGCACATCAACCGCAATCTTGCTGACCGCGGCCGCATCCCCAGGCGTTGCGGGGGCGCTGGTCAGGTGAGCCGCCATAATGAGACAGCCGTGTTCGCAGTCCAATCACCTCACTGCAGCTGTTGACTAGCGGTGCTGCCATCAATCACTACAGCTTCAAAATTTCTGCAATCCCCAATTGCTGCGATTTCTCTGTGGATTTTTTTCACAGCCAGCGTTTTACAACATACCTCTGCAATTTCTCCTCAAGATAGCTCAAATTACCCTCTACACATCCTGCATGCGTCCATTCGCAGGCATTCCGATGGCCGCGAGGCAATGGCATTCACATACAACTGTCCGACAAACGTGGGCCTTCCCTGCGCCACTACTGCCAAGCTGGCAGTCAGTTGGCTGCTTGCCGGTCCCCTGCCTGGCACGGCAGTGCCAACATCAAGGCGCAGGATGTCTTCTCTAGCCAGCATGGCCTCTGCCGCCTCGACAGATAGCCTGTCAACTGCCCCGGCCACGATGTACATCGAACACAAGATTCTTGTCTTCACGACTCCAGGTGAGCTGCCAAGCAGCGCTTGACCGACCAAAGACCCAAAGAAGCGGCCTGTCACTGTGGGGTTTCACCACGTCGCCTTCGGGTGCGAGAGGCTTGGATTTGAGTTGAAGCATGGCCGTCCCTCATCAACATCTGGGACTGATGATTGAATAGACAAAATGGGAAATGTGCTGCAGTCAACACATGAATGTACAGCATGGTTGCTCGTGTAAGGCAGCCCCAGAGTGCAGTTGGGCCGTGTGACAGCTGCCAGTATCTCCACGTCGCATTAGACTGCAGTCAACTTGCTCACAACTGCAAGTGGACCTCCAAACAGGCTTCACGGAGATCGATTTTCTCGAGGCGATTTTCAAGGGCTATGGCACCCCTTACGACATCGCGCGCTGGGATGTCGACAACGTCAGCCCCCCAAAGCCAGACCTGACCACGCTGCTGTGGAATGCCGACGGCTCTGCCAGATACTCCTCCTATATCATGTGAGATTCTCTGAGGTTTCACACTCCAGGATCGCAGACGACTCAGGGCTCTCACATTGCATGCAACCTTCCGGCAGCTGCCTGAGATGCGGCAAATGTCTCGTGCATTTACGCATGTGACAGCGCCCTTGCGCCGCATGATATATGCGACCATTGCCTTCGCGCTGTTTTTGTCGCACGGCCCTGGCCCCAGTGCCCCCTCAGCAAATTATGCATCGCCCTCCCTCAACGACTCATGCAGGTTCCCCCACCTGGAAGAGGCAAGCCTCATGACCAAGGCGGAGATTGACACCCTGTGGGACTTTGCGCGCCGCACCGGCGCACGCAGCCTGCACGTGAACATCTGGCTGGGCACCATCGGCTATGGCTCCTACGGGACCTGCACCGCTGATCAGGGCTCAGCGATGTCCTTTGCAGCCGCAGCGCCCGCGGGTGTCTCGGGCATCAACTTCGCAAGTGCCAAACTTAATTATGCAGGCATCTACAGGTGCGACAGGCGCGTACTGCATGCCTGCCGTTTGGTTTGACCAGTGCTTGACTCCTAACCTGCTTGGGAATTAGGATTGGTAAGCATGGCAAGCAAAGCATGGCAAACACTCTTCCAAGGGTCCAATGCGTTTGCTGCTAGCAGTTTATGGCCTGGTCTTTGAAGGCCAGCATCCTGTGGTGGCCCCTTCTAAACTGCCCCACTATCCCCTCTTCTTCCATTCTTCCATTCTTGCATGGCCCCCCTGTGCCGACCCGCAGGTGTCCCGCTACCGGCCCGCCTTCCGGCCAGTGCGCACTGTACAACGTTCCCGCCATTGACGGCACCGCGGGCAACTCAGGCAGCATTGTGACCAACTGTTCGGTCCGGCCAATCGTCACTCAAGACGCTGACGGCGCCGTGGTGGCTGCGCTGGCCAGGTGAGCTGTGTGATGGCTGCCTCGCTTCAAGAACACCACCCTGCTGTGTTGCTGCTTTTCTGCAGTCGCTCCGCGCCCAACATAAGAAACGAGCTGTTGTCTGGATGGGCACCTCATTTATTCAGATTTGGCGACTGACCTCGCCCTTGCGCCCTGCATCCATCCGGCATGATGCTCATGCAGTTATGATGACGGGCGCGAGACGATGTCGTTTATGCATGGCTGTGCCGCCTGGAGCTCAACCTGCCTGCTACTGGGCCACATGGCGCTGGCGTGGCTGACTCAGAACATCATCCCAGGAGAGAGGGCCGCCCTGCTGACTGTGCAGGTAATCACATCGCGTGTGAGCGAAGGTTCTCCAACAAGCGGGAGTCTAAGCACATGAGTGTTTGATTGTGGCGATAAGGGAGTGCAAAGACTGGGTGAGTGCAAACAAAGCCCAGCAGAAAGAAACCTCCAAGCTGGTCAGGTTGTCACAGCAGCTGCAGCATAATTAGCAGTAGCCATATCACTGATTGTGATGTGATACCTTGAAAATGCAGAAGCCCCACGTGCAAGCCAGGGTCCCTGTTTTCATACCCAATCTTCTTTGCACCTCTCCACCCCCTTTTCCCTCTCTGTCCCCCTTTCAGACTGATGACATGTTCTTGTCCACGTACCAGGACGACACCAACACGTACTTCCGCATTGGCCCATCAGATCTGAATGCCCACATTGCCTGGCAGGGCAGCCTGCGGCTGCCTGCTGGCTCCTCCATCAAGTGCGCGCGCACCAGGCTGGTCGCTGCCGGTTCCCTGCATGCGGCATCCGTGATGGATGCCTTATGGTGCAAGATCTTGCAATGTGTAGGCTTGCAGTGTTGAAATGTTGATTGTTGAACTTGGGTTGGATTTGCTAAGGCTCTTTCTTTTACATAAAGCTGTCGTTGAGCCCAGCTTGCTGTATCTCCAGTCTGATGCATTCAGGTACCTTTGCTCAACCCTTGCTCAACACCTCCCTCCTATGCGCACGCCCCAGGGTCGAGTTCCCTTTCAATGGCAATGGCATCCTCGAGTTTGCAGGCACACCTCTGGTAGTGGATTCAGGGTCCTGCAGCGGCAGCGATGATTACGTCGCCCTCAACTGCTACTGCTGGCTGCTGGGGTATGCGGCCTGCCCCGCGTCGCAGCCTGAGTACTGCAGAAACTGCACGAAAGACTGGGCCAAGCCGGCTGGCTTTGGTGCCAACAACGTCCCCAAGGTGAGTGGGCTGCAGTGCACAGTTGAAAAGTGCCATGTTTGTTGGAACAAGTTTGGATGTTTGCGTCAAACAGCCAGCCTGCTCGCACAAGCGTTGTGGGGCGACGGACGTTCTTCACACTTATTATCCACCACGCCTCACGCTTCCCCTTACTGTGATCTTCAACCCCTGTTGCCATTCGCAGCCGCTGCCCAGCTCCTCCAACCCCAACAGTTGGGGGCTGGCAATCAGCCAGGATCCTTTGGCGGCTGCTGTGCTGGGGGACACAAACGGAGCTGCTTCCAGCTTTTTCTTCAGCCACCACACTGTGCGGATCATTGAGGAATGTTGCTTGCGCTGCGTCCCGCACTGCCAGCAGAACAGCAATCTGCAACAACCAAATATCCGCGATGAAAGGAATGCATGTTACGAGGCTCTGAAAGCTTCAACAACACACCACCATATCTGCCTGGCAGTTCACGCACGAGATCTTGGACAATCCTACCCTGTATGACGCTACTCAGCAGCTCTCTTTAAACAAGCAGATGGCGGTGAGTGAATGGGATCATGGGATGGGGTGGGGTGGGGCGTGGGGTGCTTGGCCCTCTTGCCGACACATCTTATCCTCGATCTTGATCCTTGTTCTTGATCGGTATTGCAGCACCAATAAGGGCGCAGCAGTTGACTTGCAAGTAATGTCCCTGCAACAGCGCTCATTTACTGCTGCCAACGGCTAACGCCCGCAGGACAAGCTGGGCCTCACGTCCAGGACAGTGTTCAGCTCTCAGTGCATGGTCACGCCCGGCATCAGCGGCCTGACCAATGGAGACGCGCTGCAGGGGCTGTGGCAGAATGGGCTTCAGTGCGCTGTGGGGGACAACACGTGGGCGTACCTCAAGAACGCAAATAATGTGCATCAAATGCTCTACACGACACAGGTAGAGTATGCAGCTTCACGGGTTTGTTCCTTACCTGGAAGCTCAATTCTCAGTGCCTCCAGGCCGTGGGGTTGACCAGTCCATCGTTGGTGTGACTGGGATTCCTGTATCGTGGAAGTCTGGACACACGCCAGCTTGGTCATTATGCTTACATCATGCATTCAGTTGGTGCCCCTGAACAATGATGTGATGCTTATTGCAGGCCAAGAATGGCTTTGACAACTTTGCCATCCTGCCTCGCTGGGCTGCTGGTGAGTCCCAGCCAAGTTGTCTGTTCAGCCCTGTGGGCTTGTCGCAAGAGGGAGTTGTTTGAACATCACCTCTGCTTGGTGTCCCTTGTGCTGATCCACTTGCACGCTTGCGCACGCGCACACACCAAGTGTGCGCGCGTGCACACACACACACACACACACACACACACACACACACGCGCGCGCGCGCGTGCGCACGCACGTGTGCACACACGCGCACGCACGTGTGCACACACGCACAAACACATAGGCACAAACACATCAACAACCGCAGAAATCTACTTCAACTGCAGCACGGTGGCCCAGAACACGGCGTTGTACCACGGCATCTACCCCTCCATCACTGATTACTCGATCGACGCTATCCTCGCCCGAGAGTCTACCCGCGTGCTGTCAAACCTGCTGGCCCTCCGCAAGGATCCGTGAGTTGGCTGAAAGGCGTATCAAGTCCAGCGCAACCTATATACATATCCTTGTGTCTGGTTGTATATATATACATCCTTGTGTCTGGTTGTGTTCAGCCACGATGCAGGTTGCTGATTCGAAGGGTAAAAGTGTAGTATGTCTGCTAACATCACCTCCTCCACACTGTTCTCAGGCACATGATGCATCAGGCCAACCTGAGGGTGGAGTCTGACGGGTGCGTGGGTACAGCACCAGGAGTCGTGCGAATGCGCACACGTTGGTGATTGGTGCACTCACGTCTTCACTGCCATCGCAGCATTGGCAGATGGGAGTACCTGCCAATGGTGGTGGTTTTGCACAAAAGATTGGTGGTGTGCATTTGCTTTTCACTCATGAGGCTGGGTCCCACTCGGGTTCATGCATGCAGGAAGAGCCTGGTGATGCGCTGGATTGAGGCGGTCCTGCAGAAGCTCACCGCTTGCGTCACCTGGCCCGTCCGTTCCCTCAAGCTGGACGACCTCCAGCAGCAGTTCAAGCTCAGGGAGCAGCGCGACAACTGCAACCTCTCATACAGGCTGGCGGTATCAACGGCCACCAACAAGGTCACCGCAATCACAGTCACCAGCCTGCCAGGCGCGACGTCAGGGTGCAGCGCACCCCTGACGGTGGCCGCGGGGGCTACTGTTACAGGCGGCGTCGCCGATACAACGGACGCCGTCGCGCCGGTGTACCGTGTCGCGCTCACTGTGGGAGGGGCTGCCACGATTGGGACCAGCCTGGATTGGAAGCCAATTCAGTGAATTCGATGCAGACTTTTTTGCTGGGTGGCGGCTTGCTGGCCCGAGGCACATCGCGCGCTGAATGCAGGTTGCATCGTATGACTGGGGTCTGGGTTAGTTTTTTCAGCACGCCGCAAGGCAGGTGCACTGATGTTGTCACACGTCATGCAAGTGTTGCTTTATCAGGGCATTCGACGCCAGCACATCTTTGCTGGAGTCTTCAGCCAATATGCTGAGCAGATTGGCTGCAGCATCAATTTCGCAGGCGCAGAGTGCGCCAGTGTCTTGCATTGCATTGGCCTCTTCACAATTGCATTAGCAAGCTGCAGCTGTTGGGTGTTGTTGCCCACAGAGCACCTTGCCAAGCTGTGCCGCGCGTCTCCGCGCGCCACCTTTGAAGCACAAGCAAGAGAGCTTTAGGCATGCGATGTGTCGCTGCATGCACGCTCCTTTGTTTGGGGGGTGCGCACAACATTGTGCAAAGCTGCCTCACATTGCTGCTTTTGGGGGGGGTGCACTTTGTCCTCAAACAACAAAAATCTCAAATCGCTGGCTTTGTCTCATGATGTTGCTGTTCAGAGCAATGGCCTTCGGAATGCTATGTTGCGACCGCTATCGGTGCGCAACTGACGCCGGCTTTTCGAAGTTGTCTTCAAGCTTGCATCAGCACCGCAAATGGGGCCGATGCCCCCTTTCAGGCGGTCGGGTGATGCGATATGCGACCCCTGTCCCTGTTGCTGGCAGGCGGCTTTGCATCATGCGCAACGTGTAGATGTACTTTGGAGCTATCACGTATGGTGGTGTTTTTTTATGAAATCTGCAACATCATGCTATGAGATGACTTATGTCAACACTCTTTGACCGCCACGCGTGCGGTTTGCTGACCTGCGGAAAGGTCCTTTTCGATACGTATCACGCCTGACTGCGTACGCTGGCACAGTTGCGAGTAGTCAGGTTGATGCTGCAGTGAATACTTTGGCTGCATGCACACTAGTGGACATTGCCGCGCCCACGCCTTGTTGCTGGTTGGCATGGCTGGTAGGAGCTGGCCGTTGTTACAGGTACCCATGTGGGTTTAAAAGGAGGTATTGGTGCAACAACACCTGTACTGTTTATTTTGCCTCTGATCTTTCTCACGTGCCTTTAATGGAGTGAGAAGGTACCTGGCACCCTTGGTTTCGAGAAGCTCAGCTGGTCCATATATGTGTCTGGTTTACCTGCTCTTGGTACATGATGCTGGCATGCATGTACATATGTGTGCAACTTCGTACATAATGGTGTCCTTCTTGCGTATATGTTTGTCCCAAGGCTGCTCTCAACATAGGCAAATGTTCCCTTGCACAGTGTAAATGAATTACTGTGAATGGTGCTCATGCTTGTGTGCCCCGTGAGGATTGCTGGCCTTGAGCAGCTCAAATCCTCAAAATGGCCCTGCACTGCTCAGCACATGTGACATCCTCCAAACAAAACCCTTCCTCAACTCGAGTCATACTTGTTTGAAATAAGTGGGCAGACCACGCATCAAACGCACAGCATGCCGTAGCCCTTTCCCAACTCAAGCCACACTTGATGTACAGGAGTAGGTAAATAAACCTCACAACGAATGCAAAGCATGCCATATCGGTTGTGTTCACAGCACTGCAGGACATGCCGTATCATGCATGCCCGCAGACCACATTTAAGCTAGCAGCATGCGTGCACCTGTGACCCTAGCCGACCGTACGTGTTCTCCGCCCCCTCCCACCCCCCTGGCGCATGCGCGCGCGTCATCCCATGTGGTCTAGTGTGGCTGTGTTGTGTTTGGCAAGCAGCGAACAACAAACGAGCAGTCATGCAAGGTATTTGATATTTGAAGGCGGCCACTTCTGGGATGTCAGCATCGATGTCGCTGTTGTGCAATGCTGCATTTGTACCCAGCAGCCCTGAACTCGCACTGTGAGCACACACTGACACAGCCTGAGCTCACTGCAACCGCCCCATCGTTCGCGTCAATCCCCAGAGCTTCCGACTGGCCAAGAAAGCGTGTAATTCTTCTGATCAGGACAGATTTCATAGCCTCTGCCCCTCTCGGGAAAGGCCAACTGGGGCAGGCCTGGCCTGATCATGTTTGCAGCCAGCTCAGGACGCGGAGCATCAAGGATGGGTGGAATCATTCCAGCTTTTGCACTGCTTGTATTCGTCGCGGTGGTGATGACGGAAGTTGAGGCGCAGCCGCGGCCGGTCACAGGCAACACTGTGTTGGTCATAACCAACCCGGACGGGATCGCTACGGGGTGAGAAAGGTGTAAGAGCCATCAGCGGGCCGGCCTGCGCCGTGCGTGCATATGCCGTGCTGCGTCGCGCGACTTCGGACCGCCGCCCATACGCTTCCTACCGCGCACTTCGCTCTCGCACCGAGCGCCGCACAAAACACGTGACCCTTGGTTGCATCGGTGTTGACAAGCTGCATGCACTCGCACCTCTCAAACTCTCAGATTGTCCAGATCCGCTGCAAGCATTGGCTTCCTGCAGGCAGCACTCGCGGCGGCCAGCCAGCCAGCCCTTCAATACAGTGGTTGTCAGCAAGTCCTCACGCCCCGACTTTGCGTCGCTCCTGTGGAACGTCGATGGCACAGGCAGATACAGGGGCATCATCATGTGAGTCTTCCTGCTGGCTGAGGCTTGCCGGGCTGAGCGCTTGCCGCCGCAGATGATCGACATCCCTCATTTATGGTGCTGCCAGTCGTGTCTGCGCAGCAGCTGACTGGCAAGCAGTGCAAGCAGTGGGAACGGTCGGCAGGCAGCCACACGGCGGAGCCAAGTGCGCGAGCACCTTGGAATTCGTGCCTGCGTCGGCACCGCAGCACCCATCACCCACAAAACCGATGTCATCATCCACCCGTACGCGTGCCAACCTGCACCAACATGCGGGGCCCCAGGTACCCGCCATTGGAGTCGATGAGCCTCCTCACACCCGCCGACATTGGCATAATCTGGGACCACCAGGTCAAAACCGGCGTCAGGAGCATCAAGTACGGCGCCCCCGCCCCCACGATCGGCTACGGCGCGTTCCCGCCTGGCACCGCCAGCCAGCTTCACTGGACGGCGCTCGCGCCGGTTGGCACGTCTGGCGTCTCAGCAACTGCCATGCTCTCCACCAATGGTGCCGGCCTGCTCATGTGAGTGCTCGATTGCAATACGCCTGCAGGCGTGCTTGTGTTCTTGTGCGAAGTCAGACCAGGGGACCATGAGCTGAACCCTGTGACTGGCCTTGCACCAGGCGAGCTGTTTCCAACTGCCCGCAGCCCCCACTGGCCCCTGCCCCCGCCCACCACCACCACCTCCACCATCATCCCACTCCCCCTAGGTCACCCGGCAATGCGGCCGCGCCTCTGGGAACCTGCGACGTGCACCACGGCCACGCGGGCACCAACCCCACCGCCGCAGCCATTGTGTCTCCCTGCACTTCAACCGCAATCCTGCTGACCGCGGCCGCATCCCCAGGCGTTGCGGGGGCGCTGGTCAAGTGAGCTTCTCGGAGCTGTCTTCGCCTGTGTGGCTCTTAGCCCTCGGTGCCGGCCAATCACCGCCGTTGCTGCGCCGGCCCCAATGCACACACTAACGCCGCCCATATGATGCAGCGTGCGGCTTACCAACCTGCTCGGCTGGCACTGCAAGTGCAACAAGCTGTGCAGCGATGTTTCGTCCCTCAGAAAGAGTTTGAAATGATCGAGGTTGTCTTGGCAACGTGGCCTGTCTGAGACCCCCTGCATCGTACTCGTCCTCTTCAGCCTGCCCTGACGCTTGCTGTCTCAATCCACCCATCCAACCTGTAGGCACTCTGACAGCCGCGAGGTCATGGCTTTTACCTACGACTGCCCAGCAACTGCCGGCCCCCCCTGCACGACCACCGCCAAGCTGGCGGTCAACTGGCTGCTTGCAGGCCCCCAGCCCGTGACCACAGCACCAGCATCGAAGCGGAGGATGGCGTCTCTCGCCACCATGACCGCTACCACCTTCAACAGATTCCTGCTTAGTGCGGCGAAGGTCACCAAGTC